TTTCGCGGGCTCGAACCCGCGACCTCTGTACTACCTGCCTGATATGGACGCGTCACTATCTACTGTACGATTAGATTAGATGGGGCGGCAGCGCACGGCACAGCTCGGGCCCCGCTGACACAGCCGCTCTGACTCACCGGCCCCGGGGCCGCGTCGGCATGCTGCGCACAGACCAGCTGCGCACGGACCAACGTGCACAGCCTGCCCTAATCTCCCCATGTATATAAGCCGGCCTCTGCTGCCCTAGGGACCTCAGTTTCGACCTCTTGTCCCTAGGTCAGTAAGCCCTCATTTGTATTCCTTTCTTACCTTACTAACTAATACATTCACTTGTCCCTAGCCTTAGGTTTGAGCCTTGCTCACCATCGCTTCGGTAAGAACCAGTCGAACACCCCCAGCATCCTTCAAAGTCTGTGTTTCCCCTGTCGCTCGACCCTAAGTCGCGACAGGCGCCGCTTAGGAAGAAAGGCAGACAACATCTGTCGTTGGTATGGTAGTGAGCTTGCGGCCGCCAAACTGGCATTGGCGACATCATCCAGTAAGTACACCAAGCCATCGCTAGCGCCACTCGCCCCTTCCACTAACCATGGACCCTACCAGATGCGGATATCGCGTTTCTGCTACAGCAACGCGTCTGCGAGCTTCTGCTCCTACCTGCCAAATGGAAGAACCCACTGGTCTCGCCTCAACGATTTGACGCACAGACCACACTCGCGTCCGAGACGGTCAACAGCGCCCTCGGCGATCCTCAAGTGTATGCATGGCTGTTCGTCATCGAGACTCCCCTCCCTTACATCATCCATCAAGATGATACAGACCCCTACAGGCATCTGGAGGAGGAGGAACCGTCATACCTCGAGGCAGAACAGCATCTGGTGGAGGACGTCTTCCTGGACGACGCTAGTGGTGACGAGGGGCCCCCTGAGGATGCAAGGTCCGAGGCATCTGTCATGACGATAACCATGACATGGGAGACTCCAGTAAGTCTTCCTTGTCATGATACCGCACTTGCGCTAATGTGCGCAGATCCATGTCTCCATCGATGACGCTCCCCACTTCCTGCAAGCCACGGCCCCAGTCCTCTCGCAATCGATGCGTCAGACATGAGTCGCCTGCAGAACCGGAGTGCGTGGATGAATGATAGCTGCATCAACGCATGCATGCAGCTCCTCCAACTCGTCTTCCTGGGTCCAGGAGGTGAGCGGGTGGCACTCCTGTCCACATACATGCTCCCCCTAGTGCGCGCGGATGCCGGCGATGCGACCCTCTGGCGCAATGCGGCAAGCACACGTTTCTGGGAGAAGGATGTATGGACAATCCCGATCCACTACGAGGACCATTGGATGCTGGCGACCATTGACATTCCCCGGTCGCGCGTCGCCTACTTCGACAGTTTTGCCCGGGAGCATCCATGGAAGGGTCATATTCAGGTAAGTAATTATGGCGTCAAAGTCTTGCATATCCTAATATTGGCATCAACAGGACGTCATGCAGCTCACCGCGCGCCTGCTCAATATTGCAGCGGATAAGGGTCATCGCATTGTCCACGCGCAACGTGCATGGGCCGTGTATCCGACCACGGTAAGTAGCATTCACCGACGCCGCTAGGCGCAGTCTCACCCAGTCCCTAGACAGCAGCACATCAGCACAACACATACGACTGCGGCGTATGGATACTGGCCGTCATCGCGGCAGTTTTGCATGGGTATGACATGACGGGGTTCGAGGAGGCAGACATAGGCCATTTCCGCATATTCCTGTTCACGCTAGCATGCGCTGTATCCACGTAAACTTAGTATACTGAATCAATAACCACGCCTTCATACACGAGCATGACCCGCTGTGAGGGGAAACATGCTAGCTCATAGAATACACCATAGTACTCTGGCATGTGCGTCAGCTGCGTGAGCTCCCACAGGTCGCAAAATACCTCCTTGGCCGCGAACTTCGCCCGGGTCGATGTCACAATTTGTGCACGATTGTCATCGTCCACACCCTCCGCGGCAGCCTCCTCCCACTGGGCGTGAGCAACCTGCCGATGCTCCCGCGCATCGGTGAGGTGTTGCTCTATCAACCCTCGCAATTCGTCCAACCTCCCTTCGTTCCACAAGCGTATACAACAATCCCGTTCGTCGCGCAACGTTCGCCAGGCCTGCCCACGCAGGACGGCCTCCATCTGCTTTGCCGTGGCATTAGCAGGGTTGAAGTCGAGGGGCGTATTGCATAGCACCTTGAGGAGCAGCGGGTGAGAGCAGAGGGGCAGGTGCGCGTCCGTGAGGACATCGGGGGGGATGTCATGATGGTCTGTGGGCCTCAGAGGGTGGACCTGAGAGGGTATTAGAGAGCCCTCAACTGAGGGGTGGTCTTTAGCAATGTAACCCGGCGTCATTGAAACATGAACGTACGCTGGCGATGCAGATATGCATGCCGGTTCTGAGCCCTTCGGCTGGCCTTGATGCTGCACGCTTGGTTGGCAAGGGATAGGGCGGGGGTTAGTAGCTATACCTTGGAGTAGCTGCATGAGCCTGTTTGCGCCTTTTGGTGGCAAAGGTCTTGTCTGCGGCAGTGAAGTATTTGGCGCCTCTGCCCATGGTGGCAGTAAAGCATACAAGGAGCCCTATGAGAATCTAGTCTGCCCCAAGGGTTAGACCGTGCACCTTATGCTTTGCCCAGAGCCTTTCAGAATGCCGCTGGTGTCCAAATGTACCCAGGCGATGTGCAAGCCCGTTGGCGAGCAAAGCGCGCAAAATTGGAGGCATTGCGAGCTCAAAAACAGCCTGTATATGACTTGCAAGTATGTTTTCGACTGTCCTGCAGCTCGATCAGTGGACCCTTATTCGCGCGGGGATTGGCTGCAGCACCAGGTACCGATCACCGAGGAGCATCATAGCGAGCACCGAGGAGCGCTCAATGTATGGGCACCTAATGCCAGTGCAGATCCCTGTCACGAACCTCGGCCATACTAAATCAAGGCCGAAGAACCATCAATGGTCTGTAGTAATCGGATCATCCTGCGATCCTGGGCAGGGATCCTTGGGCTCGCGCGCAGGTCGTATACACGTAAGAGTCCAATGTGAGCTTGGTGAGCTTGCTCACATTGGACTCTTACAACTAGCTTTTGCAGGAGGCCGCGGCCGCCCAGAAGGACTGGGGGCCGGCACTGATCTCCGAGGGGGACTGATCTCCGAGGGGGACTGATCTCCGAGGAGCGCCACACGGGCGCCTAGGAGCAGCGCAGATCGCTCAGGGCACCCTCGAGCAGACCAAATCGAGCCCGAGGGGCCGCCTGAGACCATTGTCCTAAATGGCACGCGGTTATGCCGCAGGACCGCTTGGCACTTGGGCCGCCTGCCGTGTGGCCACAGTGGCCATACGCACCGGCAGGGCCATCTGGAAAGGCAAGCCGGGCGGCATGAGGCAGATGGCCGAATGCCGACCGCAGCATGTCAGCGCCCGATGAACGTTCGATTAATAGATGTCGGTGTACACATTGTTTTTGACATCGCTGTACGCTTGACGACGAAATAACTACAATCACATTGATAATGTCTAAGGTGTGCTGCTATTTCTGCTACGACACGGAGTACTACACTAGCGCCACTCATCTTGCAACGATGTATCATAACACTATTAACTTCGGATGTTACCCCATTTACCTCACGGAGAAGCGAGAGACCCTCGGGCAGACCATATCGAGCCCGAGGGGCCGCCCAAAACTATTTCCCTAAATGGCGCGCGCTTGAGGCAATGGGCAGACTGGGGGTGCTGACCGTCATAGTTGACGGGCCGCACGTGCCCTCAGGGTGAGCCGGCGGTACCATCCGCTATTCTGATAGCGGATCACCTCCCGACGCATGTCATTGGTGACATGCCCGGAGTTGAAGCCGGCCTCAACCCTCGCCTTTGCAATCCCGACGGAAGCCTTCACTCGCTGGGGCGGCGAGGGTTGAAGTGATGTGAGCGGGGAACTGCGCCGAGGGAGTCAGAGGGATGCGAGCGGGGAACAGCAGTGAGGGAGTCAGAGGAACCAAGCAGCTGGGTGCATGCTTCCCAGGCATATCAAATGGGGTAACACCGAGGAAGCAGGTGACTGGATATCAATTCGCTGATCCCTGCATGAGGCCCAAGCCATCCAAATCGGGTCACACGCTTCCGTTCTGTCCTCTACCGTCCTCTTTGATGTCCTCTAGAGCTCGTTCAACACCATGGCCCTCCCTCTTCTCCTCGTGATCCTCATCGCATTCACGCCCATGCTCCCACCTGATCCTGGGCAACCATCTAATTCCTCCCGCCGTGTCTCTCCACCTACTGTCGCCTCCTTTTTTCTTGCTCCCACGCCCAATCTACCCTGACTCTCTCGCCCTTTCCGAACTCCCTTAGACCATCTCCAAGAGGCTTTGCAACGCTGCGCACGACACCCAATCTCACCATCGCTGCCCAGGCCAGAGGTCCCACAGATCGTGATCAAGCAGGAGGAAGTGCCGACGCGTTTAGAGGACATTGGAGAACCGGGATACTTCATTCAGGTGAGTATCCAATGTCATACAGTGGCACACCGCGCTCCACGCATCTCATACTAATCAAACCCCACCTCAGATGCGACAGCGCGTGAAGACCAGCACGCCGCCTGGAGCACGGTCGTTGCGCGAAGACGCAGATGAGGAGGCCACACCGCGTGAACGACACTCTCGCGAGGCACGAGACACGGACACTGCCCCGACCACCCCGACTTGCCTGCGCACAGTAATCAAACCGACTGGTAAAAGCACCAGCATCAGCCACAGGGCCCAGGCACGCCGCGCGCAGCTCATGCCGCCCCCAAACCCCGAGCGCGAGGGCGATGCGATGGCTGCCGCTCCCAAAACCACCAGCCTCCATTCTATGGAGTTGCGGAACACTACGCCCCAAGTGCAAGAGGAGCGCGCCCCTGCTGCAACCATCCGCGGTGAGCAAGAGGATCCCTCTTCCGCCCCAACGTCCTCCAAGCCTCCCGCCCATCCCGGAGGGTCCATCGCGCATGCAGGAGGCTCCCAGCCCATGCACTATGCGCCAGCACCACGCACACTACGTGAAGACATGCTGCTGTACCCATACCACGCAGCACCCTTTGCCCCCACGCATTACGGTGCTGCCGGACTCGACCCCCACAACCTGAACATGTACTACCACCCGTCTCCGTACCAGAACCTGGCGGCGCCGCTGCACTCGCGAGCCCCATCCAGCGTCTCACGTGCAGACCTCGCAGGACCCTCCGCAGAGCCCCTTGCACCTCCCTCCAAAGTGGCATCAACATCCTCGTGAGTCGCACCTACAGCCCTGTGCTCGCGGGCGTCCTCCAACGCATCGCATATCCATCCCACCGATCCCGCTGACCCTCTGCGCTACAAAAGCGCCTTAGCCCCCCCCGGTCCAAGTGACATGCCGGGCTGGACCGTCCTCCAGGTGGCGGATCCCCAGCCCCTACTTCCACAACAGCAAGCCCTTCCTTGCAGACCCTTAACACCCCCTCCTAGCGACAGCCAGCCCTCCAAGAGGGCCCTCGAGCCCACACCCAAGGCGACGAGTACGCAGGAGGACCCATCCACGGATGTGCCTAGCGCGCAGCAAGCGGGCACCGCAGACAATGCAGCAGCAAGTGCTGCCGGTTCCCCTATGGATGAGTCTGGCGACAACGTGGTGCATGACACCTCCCACGATGGCAGCCCGGAGTGGGATGAGGTGCCTGGCATGTCGTATGAAGAGGCCGCAGAGGCTGAAGAGCAAGCCCTACAAGAGCAAGCCGACGACGACGTGTTCGGCACCCCAGGGCGACTCTCGGACGACATGCGCCAGATCCTGCGGACAGGGTTTGCCAAGATGAATACCATCGTGGAGCAAGTCAGCAAGGACTCTGGGCTGCCAGCGGCGCGTGTCCAGGCAATGTTCGGACAACAACACGCCCGCGTGAACACCGCCCGCAACCACTGGAACATCTACGGCCGCTACTTCAAAATGAACCAGGCGCAAGAATGCAAGCGTCTCGGCCTAGGTAAGTACAGGGACTTTGCATCCCTAAACAGATACTAATGCGAGCCTCGCACAGATGCTCCTTTGGCAGATACCATCGAAATCCGCTCCAAGACGTACACGCTATTCAAAGAAGTGCACGCCGACATCTGGCGTGACATCCTCGAGACCTTCAAGGAGGTCGAAGTGTGGGCGGCGAATCACACTGTCGGCCAGTGCAAGCGCGACTTTGCGAAGGCAGTCGCCAAGATGAGGCAGCTCGTAAGTGCCTACATCATGAGCGTCACGCAGCCCACTAACCACCCCCTCAGTGCGACAACCTCGCGCTGCGATACGACTTCTCCACAGCATTCCTGATGGCAGGCAATCTCGTCAATACGGACACGGGCCTGGCGCAGCTCTATGAGACTGCGATGGCAAAAAATGTAAGTTCCCGCTGGTTACATTGGGTGCTTTACTGACTATATAATTTCCCAGTTTCTGAGCACCTATCTGCGGGGCAACGAAGACACATCCCTCGCACACTTCAAGTCTTATTTATAGTTAGTGTTTATGTATATCTACAACGCAACATGGAGCTCATGTTTTACATGGCGCAGTCATCAAACATCCATGGGCATCCTCAACGAGGCGAGCGAGAACGGCGACGAGGACGTGGGTGGACCGAGCAAGCCCAGCGGCCCCGCCATTGCAGCATCATGCCAGCAAGGTGGCGCACCTTCAAAACAACACGCCGGACCATCCGAGCAGGCCGCTGGACCATCCAAGGCATCCACGCAGGTCCCAGGACCATCGAAGCAGGCTGGCACGTCCTCCAACGAGGGCACCATCAAGTCACAAAAGGACTTAGACAGGCGCAAGTTCGGCCTCGAGTTCCTGCACCCGGATTGGAGGAAGAAGCTCTCATCGACAGACAAGGCGGGCGTCATCAGGTTCAACGTGAGGGAGATGGAAGGTAAGCAACTCACCTCTCAGTGAAGTGGCGTCACACTGACGATCAGCCAGTGGCCGCCGGTGGCCCTTGGGAGCGCAAGTATAACAACCTGTTCCCTTGGAACCACCATGCCGAGCTCTTGGTTACTCAAGGGCTCGTGTGGAAGAACTACCCTGACGACGTGCGCTGGCCAGGCGAGGAAAAAACCGGTGGCCGCAACAAGGCCAAAGGGATCGCGGAGCTGTCCATGCCGGAACTCGACCGAATGATCGAGGGCCTGGTGGACAGGGACTACCCTTTCGAGTTCGAAAGGGTCGACAAGGAAGGTGAGTATCTACGTGTTCTGCTCCCTGTCGCCGCCAGTGCGCTGATTACTTTCCTACATAGCCCTGAAGAAGAACAAGCTGCCAGTCATCATCTGCGCACCCCCGGCACACGACGCCACATTCAAGCGGGCGCGCCGCTACTTCGCCAACGGGACAAGCGACCGCAAGGGACCCCCGAGGTGTGAGGCGCCTGCCTCGTCAGGAGAGCACGGTGAGAGCTCGTCGCCGGATACCGATGAGCTGAGCAAGGACACGGCCTCGGCGGCGTTGTCACCCGTGCAGGCGCCTCCGCCCAAGGCCTCTCTAACGAGGTCGAGGGTCGTCGAGGTCGTGATCCGCAAGTCGAGGATGAGCCAGCCAACCACCGCATCCAAGTCGATTGACGTGGACGACAGCGAGGACGACGACGCCCCGGTGAAGCCGCGAGCGGACAAGCGGAAAGCCATCAACGTCGAGGACTCCGAGGACTCCGAGGACGAGGACGCCTACCAGCCTTCGGAGGGGACCCCCACCCCAGTGAAGCCACGAGGGGCCAAGCGGAAGGCGCTCTGCAACGGGTCCGACACCGAGGACGAGCCCGAGGACGGCACCAAGAAGGAGCCAAGCAAGGGCAAGGGTCCCAGCAAAGGCAAGGCCCCTGCACGGAGCACCAAGCGGAGCAAGGCGAGCGCGGGCGGGAGCGATGTCGAGCAGCAGTCGACCCCTCGCATGCCCGAAAAGCCCAGGGCACAGACAGCCAAATGCCCCGCACCACGCCTGGTGCATGCAGGGGCCCGAACGCGCGGCGGGGCTATGGATACCACCACAAATGAGCAGTGCGACGCGTCCACAGAAGCTCCCGCCCAGCGTCAGCGCCCCGCCCGACATCTGCACGAGGACGAAAGCTCGCCAGAGCACGCGCCCCCCAAGCGCCGCCATCGCCCTGCCACCACAGAAGGCGCCCCCACAGAGGGCACCCACGACCAAGAGCATCACCAGGAGGCTCCCGCCCAGCGTGACAAGGACGCCCCGGCCGAGCTCCACCGCCCACAGGAGGGACGCAGCAAGCGTGCGCACGCGCCAGCGCCATCCAGCGGCACAGCTGCCCTCCCGCCCTCCCTCCTGCACCAGTGGCTGGCAGTCTACGACGACGAGGACGGCAACAGCACAAGCACCGCCGGGGCTAGCGGCATGCTAGGCCATTGGATGTTCCCTCCACCGGCGCCCTTCGCACACGCGCACGACGCACCACCAGGATACGCGCCACCGGGATACGCGCCACCAGGATATGCGCCGCGCCCGCGGCCAACCCTCCCGCATGCCCCCCGGTACGCACCGTGCGGCTGGCCAGTCGACAGCCAGACTCTGGACAGCTACGAGGTGATGGACCCGCGGGATGCAGGACACTATTACTGCCCACTGCCCCCTCAGTTCCGCGCACCCGAATTCCGCGCGCCCGGCCTCATGACGCCCGACGGCACCTACATCCCGTCGGGGAGGGTCCACCCACATTTCTACGAGGATTTCGGCCAGGCAGCTGCATTCACCGACGTGCCTCAAGGCATGCCGTACGCCGGCTTCGAGGCGGCTGCCCCGCCTGCTCGTAGGATGCCTGGGACAGCCGGCGCGCAGACAGCCGGCGTGCAAAGCCACGACGAAGGCGAGCAATGAGGCGACGCCGGGCCCTCCATGCAGGCTTGATGCATTTCGCAGGTACCGTCATGATGTATTGTCAATCTTGTGTACAATGTACTCGCTACCCAGGCCCTCATCTTGATCTTGTGTAAAGTACTTCATAGTAAAAACAATGATATTGAGAGTGATTATCGTGTACTACAGGTGTGATGTACATAAATTACTAAGTACTAGTAAAAGGAGCGAATGTGCACTCCCATCAAGACAGGCAACAAATGCCATTCTAGGGGAGGATGTTAGAGACATAACATGTGATGCAAAGGACTTGAAGCCTCATGGAGGAGGGTCGGCGTACCATCTGCGTACCATCTCAGGATGGTGGTGACGAGGGCACCTAGATGGCGATGGGATGCCCCTATATCCTATTTGGGTTACAGTGGAGGGGATCCTCGAGGAGGGATCCCCTCAGACCCATTTCGCACCACCCCTAAGGGGGTCTTCTTGACGTTGACAGGTCCTGCCTGGGGTGGCGAAGTTCATCCCCCTTGCATCAGCAAAACCAGGTTTGGCGTGTAATACAATATATTAGTTATGAGTAATCATCATGATTGTCCATGCTTGTTATTTGCTAGATATGTAATTACACG